TTGAATTTAAAAGTTCAATTGTTATAAAAAAAAAAAATGATCCTTTTATTATCTTTAGAAAGAGTGATGGTTGTTTTTATGCTTTTTTATTTTGAAGTGCCCACATAATGAAAAGTCGAAATTGAATTAATCGTTGGTTGAATTTGGGTCAATGGTGGACTCATATGTCACATTTCAAGTTTTGGTTCTTCTATAAGCCAAAATATAAGTGCAAACTTGGAAGGACCAGTCCATTCCATGCACTCTAATAAATTGAGATCTTTCTAACTAAAGAAAATTAAACGAACTCTGCCGAGTGAACCGTCCGCTTTGTGCCTCAAACCGCCTGTTAATCTCATGTTATACTCATCCCGCTTTAAATGATTACAAACAGTTGTATCATCAAAGTTATAATTGTCGAAATTTATTCGTGAAAGAATTTTATAGAAAGTCAAAAATCCCTTGGTAATTTTATTTTTTTGCTTTTATCATTGTTTAGAAACTATACCATGGAATTTGTGATGTAGTATTTGTCACAAAATTCGATTGTAATTTTTTTTTTTTAAACTTTAATAAAAATTATCATTGTAAAATTGTTGCTAAATCTGTAATTGTTGATGCGAGCAAAATGAGATTTCAAAATGAAGAAGACTGTTAGAATTTGGGTGTGACCCAAATTCTTTGTTGAAATAATTGAAGAATTCTAATTGAAGTGCACATCAAGAAGAATTCAGTTTGGAATGTTATTGGAGTCATATGTTAAGTTGAAGTTATATTTTGAAAGTCCATTGGGAGTTGAAATTTGTTTTAAAAACTACTGGAGGATTTGGACATCCCCTACATGTTCCCTATAAATACTAAGCTATTTTATACAATTTTATGGTGTGAGAAAATAAATTACTAGAATTATAGAATCTATTGCAATTTTTTCTCTTTGCTATTATTTTTTAGTCAATAAAATTTCTTAATTCATTTGTCATATTCTTGTCTTTATTATTCTTTTGCTTGATCATATATTTCATTATTATTTGTCATATAACTTCAATATCTCAATCCGATGATTCGTTTCACAACAATTGGTATCAGAGCAATTCTGATATCTTGGTTGTTTTACAACAAAGACTGTGCCACTTGATGACGATTATCTTAAATACAACTATGTGCCACTTGATGAATAGCGAAAAACAATGATTGAGATGCATAAATTGAAATAAGACCACAACTATGTCAAACAAGATTTAGAGCCTGTTTGTTTGCGATTAAAATCCAATTAAAACTAAAAATATAGTCGTTATTGGGTCTCACTCGTCTAATAAAAGTCAACAATAACGACTAGTTTTTCAATTTTAATCTGATTTTAATCTCTACCGAACACGCCCTTAGCATATTCTTTTAGATGATTAGGTCTTGTCAATCTGGTATTTTTTTTTTAATTGTTTTATGTATCCTCCTAGTTGTTCGTATTTATTTTAAATTTGATACATAAACTCCGTCATTCGTGCAAGTTCGAAAACTATATAAACCAATGAAATTGTACGACCGATTGTTGAACATAATTAAGTTTATTGCTAAAACAAAGAGGATACAATATCAGATGTTATTGAACCAGCTCGTGTTTAATCAATGGAATACCCAAAAGCCTTAGAACTCACTGCCATCAACAATATCTCAGACAATACACTTAAGAAATCTCATGAAAAGTAAACAAAGATAGAAATATATAGAAAGACTTGAAAATACTTGAAATGGAAGGAAAGTCGTGTTGGTTTATGCGCACTGGAAGCCAGATGGGACATTCTTCCCACAGTAATTAAGCAACAAGCTCTCCCTTTGACCATGTAATTCCAATTTGCCCAAAACCTTAGCTTTAATGGCAGTGCAAAGGCAAACCGCAGCCTCAAGATCGGCTAGACCTTGGATAAGGGAGCAGCATGGAGTTTTTGGAGGGGTTCCAACGACTACGTTCACCAAGCCATTTAGCAAGTCGGCACACACTCCTAATTTCAGAGTATCTTTAGGGCACTTTCCCTTTGATGGTGGATGGGGTTTGTGGCCGTGGCCACCGCTTGGGGTGGCTGGTGGTGGAGGGCACGGAACGGAAGTTGAGCTGACCATGGTGAAGAAGAGAAGATTGAAGAGAAGGAAAAGTGCAGATGAAGCAACAACTTTGGAAGCCATTTTTGAGGGGAGGGGGGCGGGGGGTTCACACACACACACACAATGTAAATACGAGAATATGTTTTGGGTTGTGATATGTGAAGCTGGTTGAGCGTATTTATAGGAGAAAATGCGACTTGTTTTTATTTTTTATATGAGAAATTTTAGGGAAAAAAAAAATTGAAGATCCATGTCG